CGCCGCCGCACGACGGGACGGGCGCGAAACGCGCATTGGCGCAATGCTTGAAGTATCCACTTAGGTTTGTAGGCGTTAATGCGCGTTTTTGTGCAATGCGTGAAGTATCCACTTAGGTTTGTAGGCGCCAGTGAGCCTCTCGCGCTGGCAGCACGCTGCTCCGCTCTGCTAGGCTTTAATAGGTATTTATACTCGCATAGTCAGCGTTTTTTAACTCATATGATTTTGAAATTTTTGCACACTCTGCATTGATTATTCTCATTTAAATTGATGGGAAAAAAATATGTATCAATTTATCAAAGGAGATTAATAATATAATGTGTGTTTTTTTAAATATTGGTGGTTCCCTGTGAAATTTAATGATTTACAAAGCACTTTAACTTTTCCTTTTACATTTTGTGCTTTTATTGTGCTGCAGCGAGGTGTACGCGCAACGAAACGCTCAAAATTTGACGTATTTGACTCTAAAAGATCGATGTACAAATGGGTTAAAACTAAAGATTGTGTGCTTCTTGGTTTTTTCCCCTCTTCTACTCATTCTTGCAGTTTCTGTCGGCATAACTGCGGCTCATTGAGTTTAATGTCGCTTGGAAAAGGTTTTACGAGTATTTGCCACGTTTTAAAAATATAAATGTTTTCAAAATGAAGTAATAATTTCGCAAAGAAAAAATAAAAACATTAAAAAGAAAGTATCTATACATATAAAAGGTATATTGTACATCGAATATTTTAAGGATAGAAATAAAACCAAATATTCACCAATGACAATTTAAAAAGATGATTCAAAAGAAAGAAGTAATAACATTTCATTTAGAACATGAGCAACCATAAGAACACCTCTTTCTCTCTCGATTTCTCATTTCCATATTGTCAATATAATTTTACATACCGACTAAAATATAACGCTTGGACCAAATCACTGTTGCTTATTTTACGTGTGGGCGTAATAGGCCAGGCACCACAGCTCCATATGAGGGGTAATATTGAATTAAATGCTGGAAAGCTGGACATTTTTTTAAAAGACGTATTATGAGGTCCTTAAATAAGGGTTAAATTTGCACCATTCCTGAAGTGGAGCTTCAGCCGCCATCTTGGATTTTTAGGCCTAAAATCGCTATTTTTTCGGTTTTTGGCCTATAAGTCAGTGAAAAAGTCATTTTTCCGTCAAAATACCTCAGTGCTATAATTAAGCTTATTAAATTTCCTTTTAAAAAGGTGGTATACGTTTTTTCCATACGACCCACCGTTTTCGAGTTATAATTGTCGCAAAGTTGGGCTTTTAAACTCAAAATCGACCAAAACCCGACTTCCAAGTTTCCAGTGCGCTACAACTTAACAAAAACCGAGGAAAGAGAGGAAAACTCATTCCGAACCTAAAATCTGGGATTTCTCAAAAATTAATCCCAAAATCCAAGTCCGTGTGGGGGGGGGGGGGGGGGCGCA